ACCCAGGGGAGGGTCCCAGGGTAGGTCAGGTGTGGAAAAAGGAACCAGATAATTAGCCTGAAGGAAGACAAAGACCCAGAAGAACTGACCTATATAAATGACTTAACCACCTCTTTACTGTGCTGCTCACTGCTAGGAGGGGCCCGCTCTTTCTCTCCGTTGTATGTCTTTGCCTTACTTCTGTTAACTAAACAAACATTTTCTCTATGTGCTCTCCCACTTGTTGTTGTGCTATGTCTGTAATAATAAACTTTGTACCTGTGTTTACAGTTTCTGCCTCCATGATAAATGCATTTTTCACTGGGGGCAAAGATCCAGAGAAAAATAGCTTCTAGCCTCTAGCCCTTGCTGGTCTGGTGGCTAGAATTCTTGCTTCTCATCCAGGCTTCCCAGGTTCAATTCCTGGGTAGGGAATGAAGATCTTGCTTCACACCACTGCTCACTGCTGCTTCCCTGAGATTCATCTCTCTCGTTCCCCTCTCTCTTTCCTTGGTGTCTCCCTTTTTCTGCTCTCTCCAAGTCTGTGTTCTTTTTCTCTGTCTCTTTTACTGGCTCTTTCTCTTTGGATGTTCGCTCTGTCTGTCTATCTCCCTCCTTCTCCCACCTCTCTCCTCCACCTGACCTGGTTATCAGTCAGTTCAGTCACTCAGTCGTGTCCGATTCTTTGTGACCCCATGGACTGCAGCACGCCAGTCTTCCCTGTCTGTCACTAACTCCCGGAGCTTACTCAAACTCATGTCCATCGAGGCCACCCAATCATCTTATCCTGTCACCCACTTCTCCTGCCTTCAATCTTTCCCAGCATCAGGGTCTTTTCTAATGAGTCAGTTCTTCACATCAGGTGGCCAAAGTATTGGAGCTTCAGCTTCAGCATCAGTCCTTCTAATGAATATTCAGAACTGATTTCCTGTAGGATTGACTGGTTTGATCTCCTTGAAGTCCAAGGAACTCTCAAGAGTCTTCTCCAACACCACAGTTCAAAAGCATCAATTTTTTTGTACTCAGCTTTCTTTATAGTCCAACTCTCACATCCATACATGACCACTGGAAAAACCATAGCTTTGACTAGATGGACCTTTGCTGGCAAAGTAATGTCTCTGCTATTCAATATGCTATCTAAGTTTGTCATGCTTTTCTTCCAAGGAGAAAGCGTCTTTTAATTTCATGGCTGCAGTCACCATCTGCAGTGGTTCTGGAGCCCAAAAAAAATAAAGTCAGCCACTGTATCCATTGTTTCCCCATCTATTTGCCATGAAGTGATGGGACCAGATGCCATGATCTTAGTTTTCTGAATGTTGAGCTTTAAGACAACTTTTTCACTCTCCTCTTTCACTTTCATCAAGAGGTTCTTTAGTTCTTCTTCGCTTGCTGCCATAAGGGTGGTGTCATCTGCATATCTGAGGTTATTGATATTTCTCCTGGAAATCTTGATTTCAGTTTGTGCTTCACCCAGCCCAGCATTTCGCATGACTCACTCTGCATATAAGTTAAATAACTAGGGTGACAATATACAGCCTTGATGTACTCCTTTCCCAATTTGAAACCAGTCTGTTGTTCCATGTCCAGCTCTAACTGTTGCTTCTTGACCTGCATACAGATTTCTCAGGAGGCAGGTCAGGTGGTCTAATATTCCCATCTCTTGAAGAATTTTCCACAGTTTGTTGTGATCCACACAGTCAAAGGCTTTGACCTAGGCAATAAAGCAGAAGTAGATGTTTTTCTGGAATTCTCTTGCTTTCCTGATGATCCAATGGATGTTGGCAATTTGACCTCTGGTTCCTCTGCCTTTTCTAAAACCAGCTTGAACATCTGGAAGTTCACAGTGCACGTATTGCTAAAGCCTGGCTTGGAGAATTTTGAGCACTACTTTACTAGAGTGTGAGATGAGTGCAGTTGTGTGGTAGTTAGAGCATTCCTTGGCATTGCCTTTCTTTGGGATTGGAATGAAAACTGACCTTTTCCAGTCCTGTGGCCACTGCTGAGTTTTCCAAATTTTCTAGCATATTGAGTGCAGCACTTTCACAGCATCATCTTTCAGGATTTGAAATAGCTCAACTGGAATTCCATCACCTCCACTAGCTTTGCTCGTAGTGATGTTTCCTAAGGCCCACTTGACTTCACATTCCAGGATGTCTGGCTCTAGGTGGGTGATCACACGGTTGTGGTTATCTGGGTCATGAAGATCTTTTTTGTACAGTTCTTCTGTGTATTCTTGCCACCTCTTCTTAATATCTTCTGCTTCTGTTAGGTCCATACCATTTCTGTACTTTATTGTGCCCATTTTTTGCATGAAATGGTCCCTTGTTTTCTCTAATTTTCTTGACGAGATCTCTAGTCTTTCCCATTCTATTGTTTTCCTTTATTTCTTTGCACTGATCACCGAGGAAGGCTTTTTTTTTTTAATCTCTTCTTGCTATTCTTTGGAACTCTGCATTCAGATGGGTTTATCTTTCCTTTTCTCCTTTGCCTTTAGCTTCTCTTCTTTTCTCAAAAGAAGGCTATTTGTAAAGCCTTGTCAGACAACCATTTTGCCCTTTTGCATTTGTTTTTCTTGGGGATGGTCTTGATCACTGCCTCCTGGACAATGACACGAACCTTTGACCATAGTTCTTCAGGCATTCTGTCTATCAGATCTAATCCCTTGAATCTATTTGTCACTTCCACTGCATAATCGTTAGGGATTTGATTTAAGTCATACCTGAATGGTCTAGTGGTTTTCCCTACTTTCTTCAATGTAAGTCTGAATTTGGCAATAAGAAGCTCATGATCTGAGCCACAGCCAGCTCCCGGTTGTTTTTGCTGACTGTATAGAGCTTCTCCATCTTTGGCTACAAAGAATATAATCAATCTGATTTCAGTATTGACCATCTGGTGAAGTCCATGTGTAGAGTCATCTCTTACGTTGCTGGAAGAGGGTGTTTTCTATGACCAGTGTGTTCTCTTGACAAAACTCTGTCAGCCTTTGCCCTGCTTCATGTTTCACTCCAAGGTCAAATTTGCCTGTTACTCCAGGTGTCTCTTGACTTCCTACTGTTACATTCCAGTCCCCTATTATGAAAAGGACATCTTTTTTGGATGTTAGTTCTAGAAGGTCCTGTAGGTCTTCATAGAACTATTCAACTTCAGCTTCTTCATCATTACTGGTTGGGGCATAGACTTGGATTACTGTGATATTGAATGGTTTGCCTTGGAAATGAACAGAGATCATTCTGTCGTTTTTGAGATTGCATCCAAGTACTGCATTTTGGACTCTTTTATTGACTATGATGGCTACTCCATTTCTTCTAAGGGATTCTTGCCCACAGTAGTACATATAACGGTCATCTAAGTTAAATTCATCCATTCCAGTCCATTTTAATTCACTGATTCCTAAAATGTTGATGTTCACTCTTGCCATCTCCTGTTTGACCACTTCCAATTTGCCTTGATTCACGGACCTAACATTCCAGGTTCCTATGCAATATTGCTCTGTACAGCTTCGGGCCTTGCTTCTATCACCAGTCACATCCACAACTGGGTATTGTTTTTGCTTTGGCTCTGTCTCTTCATTCTTTCTGGAGTTATTTCTTCACTGATCTCCAGTAGCATATTGGGCACCTACCGACCTGGGGAGTTCATCTTTCAGTGTCCTGTCTTTTTGCCTTTTCACACTTCATGGGGTTCTCAAGGCAAGAATGCTGAAGTAGTTTGCCATTCTCTTCTCCAGTGGACCACATTTTGTCAGAACTCTCCACCATGATCTGTTGGTCTTGGGTGGCCCTACACAGCATGACTCATAGTTTCATTGATTTAGACAAGGCTGTGGTCCATGTAATCAGTTTGATTAGTTTTCTATGATTGTGGTTTTCATTCTCTCTGTCCTCTGAGGGATAAGGATAAGAGACTTATGGAAGCCTCCTGATGGGAGAGACTGACTGTAGAGGAAACTGGATCTTGTTCTGATGGGCGGGGCCTTGCTCAGTAAATCTTTAATCCAATTTTCTGTTGATGGGCGGGGTTGTGTTCCCTTCCTGTTGTTTGACCTGAGACCAAACTATGGTGGAGGTAATGGCGACCCCCTTCAAAAGGTTCCGGGCATGCACTGCTGCATTCAGTGCCCCTGACCCTGCAGCAGGCCACCGTTGGCCCACTCCTCTGCTGGAGACTCCTGGACACTCACAAGCAAGTCTGGGTCAGTCTCTTGTGGGGACATTGCTCCTTTCTCCTGGGTCTTAGTGCACACAAGGCTTTGTTTGTGCCCTCCAAGAGTCTGTTTCCCTAGTCCTGTGTAAGTTCTGACAGCTCTATGGTGCGGTTGATGGCGACTTCCTCCAAGAGGGCTTATGCCACACCCAAATCTGCTGCACCCAGAGCCTCTACCCCTGCAGCAGGCCACTGCTGACCCATACCTCTGCAGGAGACACTCAAACACTCAAAGTCAGGTCTGGCTCAGTCTCTGTGGGGTCTCCTGGTACAGACAAGATTTTGTTTGAGCTCTTCAAGCATCTCTGGTGGGTATGGGGTTTAATTCTAAGCATGACTTCACCCCTCCTACCATCTTGCTGGGACTTCTCCTTTGCCCTTGGATGTAGGGTATCTTTTTTTTGGTGGATCCAACATTCTCCTGTCGATGGTTGTTCAGCAGCAAGTTGTAATTTTGGAGTTCTCGCAGGAGAAGATGAGCACATGTCCTTCTACTCTGCCATCTTGATCCCTGGTTATCACTCAGGTCACAATCTGGAGCCACCTCCCGTTTCCCCATCACATCGCCATGTCCCTCTGCACACCCAGGAAAACCCTGTACCACCTGCATCCCGCCGTTTCTACTCTCCCACCTGGTGCCAGGCCTTGGCTTTCTGCAGAGGAATGCCACCTGTCCCTCCAGTCCCCAAGGCCCCTGCCACAACCCTGCCCCACCTCACTGTCCTGGTTCTTTCCAGGGCAGGCCCCGCCCCAGTGGTCCCGCCCACCTGATTCCTCCAGGGCAGGCCCCGCCCCAGTGGCCCTGGTGGCTGGCTCACCTGATGGGCGCCGCCTCGTCGCCGCGATCCAGCCAGTCCTGGGGCGGGACGATGTACATGCACCAGAGGCCCCAGTTGTAGCCGTGGGCCGCGCTGGCATACTGCTGCACCTCGAACGTGTCGTACTTGATGTTATCAATGGCTGGCAGGACGATCCGCCGGCGGTCCTCCCGGATCCGTGTAAGCGCGGGCTCAGCCCTGCAAGGAGACGCAGGCCCGTGAGGAAGGGCACGGATGCCAGGGACCCCCGACCCGTTCCCCTAGGTAGGGAGCCGAGACCCAGACGGCCACGCCCGCATCAAATGTTAGGCTAGACCGCCCCTGCGGAGGGTAGATCCAAGCGCTGCACCTCTGGAAGCCCGGGGAGTCGTCTGGGCTGCATACCCGCCTGCCCGAGGCAGCCCGTGGCTAACCACCGATTGTCACTAGGGATATAAACACCATCCAGGCCCAATCTCTGACATCTCTGCTGGGCTTTCCTGGCTTCAGAGCGCCCAGTGAGTCAGCTCAGTCTGTCAGCTGGTCTGCCTCACAGCCTGGCTTTTCTCCCCAGTGAATCCTGCTTCCTGGCCCACCTTCCCTCCAGGGCTGGAAGGTACATTCATTTACAAGCAGGAATCGAGGCATGAATGTGCCACACCCTCTTGTAACACACTGGAGCAGGAACTAGAAAGGAAAAAATAAAATCCATGCCTCAGGGAGTTTAGGATATACTGAAGGGACAGAAAGGCTAACAAGTGCTGTTGTGCAGTGCACAACCTACACAACAATATGTGGTGGTCCTGACTGAGTGGGTATGGGGGGACAGACAAAAATGTATAAATAAAGGATATATTAGGAGGTGATATGTATTGTGACAGAAAAAGAGCCAAATAAGGGTGATTTGGAATTGCAGTTTTAAATAGAGTATTCAGGGTAAGTTGCACTGGGTGATGAGCAGAGGTGGTGTAAGATGTAGCAGCTGGTTGTCAGGGGAGGCAGGTGGGGCGCTGAACACAGAAGGAGCAGCCAGCGCTGAGCCCCTGGGATGTGCTGGTGTGATTGGGAAGCAGGCCAGGAGGCTGGAGTGGAGAGATGGTGGCCATGCAGGCGATGAAGGTGGAGAGGAGAAAGACCAGAGGACAAAGGCCGTGGGTTATACATTTTCAATGCAGGAGTCCCCGGGGGCAAGCAGGTACAGTTTCACTCTGGAGACAACCTTGTCTCTGGCAAGGATGAGATGCTGCCCGAGGAGTGGAGTTCAACATGGTCATGAGCAGCCTGCTGACTGGGGGACCGGAGAGATGAATGGGGAACAGGGGCCGAGCTCAGTTAGGGACAGCGGGGGCTGGGGTCAGGGTTGGAGCTCTCTGACCCTGCCTGGCCAGATTCACCCTGTAGCCAGCCTTCCTTCCCGTCCTTCCAAGCGAGAGCTTGGTATTTACCTGCCTTTCAGCTTCAAGAGGAGGATTAATTAATTACTGTTAGCAAAGTGCTTCAGAGATGAAAAGCTCTCTGCAAATGCCACATGTGCTAATAAGGCAGAATCTTTATGGAGGCAGTTCTGGGAGGGGAGGGCTATTTGCAGATGGATAACTGGGTTTTCAGTGGTAAAAATTAAAGTTACAGTAGTTTCAAATGGCATTTTGATGTGATAGACTTATGACTCTCCCAAACGTCCTCCAAATGCTCCAGGGAGTTTAACATACATGAGAGGGACAGAAAGGCCTTCGAGTACAGCTGTGCCGTGCACAACCTACACAACAGTATGCAGTGACCCTGGTGGAGGGCAGACCATACCATGTCATTACTGATAGAAGGTGACAGATGTCATGGGAAAAGAAGAGTCGCTTCATGAGGGTGGCAGAGGAGAGGGAAATGGGGGCCAGAAGGAGAAGTCAGAAGTCGCATCTCGGTCAGGCACACACTGGGTCAGAACCAGCCCTGAGAACACACTGGTGGTCCTGGGCTGGCTGAGATGTACCAGCGGGAGTGCAGGAGTGTGGAAGGAAAGGGCTCCATTCACCTGCCTACCAGGCGCCAAAGCTCTGGTCCAACCAAAACAGCAGTTAGGAAAACTGGGAACTTTGAGAGGTCCCGAAGGCCAGAACCTCAGGGGCCCTAGCTGGGGACACCCGGCCAGGCACTGTGGGACTTGATCAGCACGTCCACCACGAACCCCCCTCCCTATAACCCTCTCATCTCCCTCGAGGGAACGTCTCAGTGAATCTCTTAGTTTAGGCTTCAGAGAGTTTAAAGATATGACTTGGGAGATTTGATATAAATAAGAGTGAGTTTTAGTTTCTCTCGAAATGGGGCAAGCTGGCTACACGGGGTTGACTTTTCCCTGCTGCTCGGCTGGTAGGGGCTGCAGGCTGCCCCTGGGTGAGGGGTTCATGCTCCCTGCCCACTGTGAACCCCTTGCATACCCTACCGTTACGGGTTTAACTTAAGGATCTTCAAGTGAGATCACACTGGGTGACGTGTGTGTGTGTGTGTGTGTGTGTGTGTGTGTGTGATGGCTCAGGTGTGTCCAATTCTTTGTGACCCCATGGACTGTAGCCCACCAGGCTTCTCTGTCTATGGGATTCTCCAGGAAAGAATACTGGAGTGGGTTGCCATTTCCTTTTCCAGGAGATCCTGACCCAGGGATTGAACCCAGGTCTACTGTGTTTCAGGAAGATTCTTTACCATCTGAGCCACCAGGGAAGCCTGGGTGGGCCCTAAATCCACAGACAAGGGTCCTTAGAAGAGAGAAGGGGAGAGGCACAGTCACACAGAGGGGAGAAGCCATGTGAAGACAGACATAAAGATTGGAGGGACGCGGTCACAAGCCCAGGGACTCCTGGAGCCCCCAGAGCTGGAAGAGGGGTGAATGGTGTCCTCCCACAAATATTGGTCCACTTGGAACCCGGGATGTGACCTTACTGAGAAACAGTCTTTGCAGAGGTAATTCAGTTAAAAAACCCAAGATGAGATCACCCTGGATTGGGTGAGCCCTGAATCCAAGATGTGTCCTTCTAAGAGAAAGGAGAGGGAGACGTGAGGCCAGGACACGTGAGGAGAAACCACGTGACGACAGAGGCAGAGATGGAGGGATGTTGCCACAGCCCTGGACGTCTGGAGCCGTCAGAGCTAGAAGAAGTGGGAGGCTCCTCCCCGAGGGCTTCCTGGGGAGCCCAGCCCTGCCTGCACCTTGATTTTGACTTCTGGCCTCAGAGCTGTGAGAGAATGAATTTCTCTCGTTTGGAGCCACCAGCTTTTGGTCATTGTTATGGCAGCCCCAGGACACTCCTGCCCTGGGTGACCCTCCCTCCACCTGCTCATATCCCAGCCCCTCCAACACAGGTGGTCCCCTGGGGTCTCAGTCTTCAGTCCCAGCTGGGCACTCGTCTGACACCCGTGTGCTGCAGCCGGCACTGCTGGGGACTGGGGCGGTTCACAGCGTCCCACATGTAACCTTGGCAACAATCCAGCTCTCTAACATCACCAGTCAGCGCGTGAAGAAACCAAGGCTTGCCCAGGGCTCAAACACTCTCATCATGTCGGCGGCCCAACTGTCCTGTCCCGATCCTTCCCACGGGATCGCCAAACTCTGCCCTCCCCACCCAGCTGCCGTTTATTCCTCTTGGGTCCTCTGCAGGGCCTGGCGGGAGTGAGGGCTCAGGGGGCGACTCCCAGAGGCAGCCACCAGAGAGGAAATTAGGAAACATACCAAGAGCCCAGCAGGTGCTTTCCAAAAAACTTTGAAGCACATCCTTCTGTTCTAGCAACACATCCTCGGGCACCTGCTGTGAGAGCATCAGCTCACCGCCTGCCTAGGGACAGCAGGGTCTGGATAGAGGCGCCAGGGCCACCTGCAGCTCTGAAGCCCCTTGTGGATAATTTGCTGGACAAATGACTCAGTTCTTAAGGCATCACTGGCCGCCTTTGGGCACAGCCTCATGAACATCCCCAGGCGAGAGAGCATGGATCTGGGGCCCCACCCTGAGACCCTCTATCCCACAGACCTGTACTTTCTGCCAGCTTTCAGGGGTGTCAGATGCTGCTGGTCTGGGGTTCACACTGAACACCGAGGCCCTGCAGGGTCCCTGCCCCCTGGAGCACCTCTAGATCATCCTACACACATGCTTGGGTGTTTCCACGGCGTCCCGGCCACTTCCCTGTATCTTGGCCACTCCCCAGTCACTCCCCTGGCCAGATCCCCCTCCAGGTTTCTCATTAGAAGCCCACCTCGCCCCTGAATGGATGTGTGGGAGAAAATGGGCAGATGCTGTGACCTAGGACTTTCTCATAAAGATGAGAAATTGCTTCCAACTAGACTTGGGTTTCTATTAACCGAGACCCGATAGACCACATTTCACATACACAAGACCCAATTTTGTGTGTCTCTCCCTGACCTAAGGTCACATGAACATCCTCATTTGAGCTGTCACCTGCTGGAATGACTGGACAATTCAAATTCCTGTGGGCACAAGGTGGGGAGACAGATCAGTCCTCATACACAGGCATCACAAACAGGGTTCTCGGTTCTAGGAACTGCACATGGAGTGACCACGTGGCTGGACTCAGCTGCGTCCCACCTCCGCCCGCTCCTACAGGCCCAGGCAAACCCCATCCAGGGCACAGCTCCACTTGGCCCCAGGCCTCACCCTTACCAGCCTGTGCTAAACTCCACGTGGGCATCGAAGAAGCCGACGACAGGGGCTGTGGCGACCTTCCAACCCTGCAGCCGCGCCCGGATCAAGCCTTCCCGCCTGCTGTTGCGGACAATCTTCACCAGGCCTGGGTATCTCTTGCTGACGTATTGGTCCAGATTGAGCTTGAGTTCCACTGCGGGGACACAGAAAAGTTTCAGGCATGACCCTGTGGGAGGGCCCGAGGCCACTGAGACCCACGGTCAATGTGTGCTCTGGACACATACTTCATAAACTTTAAGAGGACACACCACAGCTGGACATGGCTCAAGGTACTGGGGGGACTTCAGAGAGATAAGACCCCCACCTCGTGGAGCTGTGTTCCAGTGGGAGAGACCATGAGCAATCAAGCCAGATTGATCCAGACAGAAACACGTGTTATGAGAATAAGAGGAAACGGGGCTGAATTACTCAACTATAGGAATGCAGTTGACAGGCAGATGGATGGATAAACAAAGTGTGGTGCATTCACACAATGGAATACGGTCCGGCTTTAGAAAGGAAATTCTGACACATGTTACAAGGTAGATAAACTTGAGAACATGGTGCTCAGTGAAATAATCCAGTTCCCAAAAGGCAAGTGCTGTGCGATTCCACTTATATGAGGTCCCTGGAGGAGCAGACATGTCCACAGGGACAGAAGGCAGGATGGAAGAGGCGTGGGGAGTTAGTGTTTAATGGGGACAGAGTTTCATTTGGGGAAGATAAAAAGGTTCTGGTGGTGATGCCTGTACAATATGTGAACATCCTTGATACCCCTGAACTCTACAATTATTTTGCAAATGGTTAGTCTTACGTTGTGAGAATTTCAACTCAATAAACCTTTGAAAAAACAGATAAGGGCCCAGGAGTCTTTGTGAGGAAGGTCCCAAGGGCTAAAAGTACAAGCAACAAAATAGGTCACAATCATAGCAAACATTAGCCAAAATGAAAAAGAAAAACGGGAAAGGGAGTGGGCGTCCAAGTGGGGCGGCGGCTTCTCTGGGTCAGCGGGGCAGGGACAGGGGTGGCCTGTGAAGGTGACACGTGGGCTGTGACAGGATGGGGAGCCGGCGGGGAAGAGAGGAGGACGTTACAGGCATGGGAAAGGAGCAGTGTAGGGACACCCTTGGCTGCTCTCAGGGTGCAGAGAGGAGCAGAGGTCTTGGGAATGGGCTCAGGGCTGAGCAGGAGGAGCTGAGAGGGTTTGAACCGGATCCTTGCTCCTGGGCCTTTGTCAATACTCTCACGCCTTGGCTATGGGGACTTCTTGCAGAAGACCTCCACCACCTGGAGGCCTTCCCCCCACATGCCCATTACCAGGCTCTAGTGGATACTCCCGGGAGGGCAGCCTGGCCCCACGGGGGCTCCAGCTGCATAGCCAGTGGGTCCCGGAGCCGTGTCCCCGTGCTCCGTCCTGCCCTCTCCAGGCCTAATTCTCGCTCCCTTGACAGTGTCTGGCGGGGCTCTCCTGGTGTAGACACAGATCACAGGCGAGGTTGGAGCTCCTTCAGGCCAGGAGGGCTCTGGGAGGCCTCTCCCCGCGCTCCTCCACCCTCCCCCTGACTCCCGACGTAAGAAGGAGAGACTGCAATGACGGAGAGACTCAGAAGTCACAACTCTGCGCCGGGACCTCAGTGTGGGAGCCGCCCGTAATGGGGTCCATGCTCCTCTCTGCTTCTGCAGAGGAACAGATGAGGACAGGCCAGGAACCTCCAGACCCTTGTTGGGGGCTTGGAGCCCCATGTGCCTGGTGGGTGTGGATTAATGCCTGGGCTGGATGGAGGCTGACATGGGGCCATGATAAGAGAACCCTGGGGACCATACTCCAGCTGTGAGCACCGGCCCCTTCCCCATCAGCAAGCCTCCCACTGGAGTTTTGTTCACAAACAAGCAGTGAAGGTGTGATTAGCATAGGGAGACTCAACACACGGGGGGCCTTTCTGGATGCTGGCTGTAGGGGTTGAATAGCCACCCCCCAAACTCAGGCCCACCCAGAACCTCAGAATGTAACCTCAATTGGAAATAGGGGTTTTATGGATGTAAACAGTTAGGGTCTTGAGATGAAAACCTTCTGGATTAGGATGGGCCCTAAACTCAAGGACAAAGGTCCTTAAAAGAAGAGGAGAGGCCTCAAACATACCAGAAGAGGCCTTGTGAAGATGGAGGCAGAGACGGGAGGGATGTGGCCACAAGCCCAGGACACCAAGGATGCCAACAGCTGGCAGAAGCTGGGAAAGGCAGGAGGGACCCTCTCCTGGAGCCTCTGGAAGAAACGTGGCCCTGTCCATACCCTGAATTCAGGATTCTGGGCTCCACAGCTCCAACATGCTTCCCTCGCTGGGGTGCTGAGCTGGCCCCACTCACCATTATCACTGTTGTCGTCCACCAGGATCACCTCCTTGAGGAGCTGGGAGGGTGTGTGGTTGACCACACTGTGGACAGAGCGCAGGATGACCGAGAGGGCTTCATTAACAAAGATGAACACCACAGAGATCTGGGGCAGGTCGTCCGAGTAGGTCATCTGTCTGCACCTGCAGGAGAGATGGCATGAGGAGCAGAGGTCAGTGTCAGGACAGGACAGGGAGGTGGGAGCCTGGAGCCCCCCTAGGAGGCCCACTGGGACCACTTCTAAATCCTGCTACCGATGGAAGAGCAATAGGGATGCCACGGTTAGAAAAGGAATGAGCACAGTGAGAGAAACAGGGTGATGATGGTCATCTCAGAAACCCTGACTTCCACACTCTGACCCTGGACTCTGCTGTCTCCTTGCGGAAAGACAGGGAAATTGCACCTGTAAGGGATTAACGTCTCACTGAGATCACATGGAACATTTTTTTGATCCCCTTGGGAGGCATGAAAGAGAAGTGAAGGGGAGGTGATCATCTCATGGTGCAGTCCAGTGGAGGGTCCAGGAGAGCCCCAGCCTGGAACCCACATCAGCCCCTCCTCCGTGACCAGCTCTATCTGTGCCCCAGGTGGTCATGGTGTTGGCAGCTGCTAGCCAGAGGGCATCTACTGGGAAGGTCCTGTGCTCAACAGACACTGTCCTCTGAAGTGGGGTCTGAGTAAACAGTTATGACAAGTAGGCAAGTGTCAGATGAGGGCTGTTGAACTAGGAGAGGTGTCTGTATGGGACAGCCTGGTCATGGCCTCCACCTATCCTCAGAATCAAGATAAAATAGAATGATAAACTGTCTTCTCCAAACATCTTATCTTGGAAGTAGGGATATGGGAGGGGAAATGAAGGGATCAGGAAAAGCAAAATATTCCATAATTAAGTGTGGGATGAGGCTGGTGAGTGCCTGGTAATGTAATAATACAGTGGAATAAATTCACAAGGGGACATGGGGAATTATCAAAAATACAGAAGTGGGGGGAAAAGGAACAAAAATTAAAATAGATAATAAAGTAAGACAGAAGGAATTCAAGTATGTTTGCTGCTGCAATAAATGTAAATAAACTAATTCTCTCTTTAAAATAGCAGAGGCTATTTTAAATAGCCTGACTTCAATGAAGTTAGATACATACACACTAATGCATACACATGCACACAGTTACTGACATATTCATTTACACACAGCTCTGCAGTTTATGGTTTATAATAAACACAATTAAAATTGAGTGGTTTTTTTAAAAAGATTGGAAATATAAACAAGTGAGAAAGAAATGCCAGACAAATACTGCCTCCCTAAGCCAGACATTCAGCACAGATATCACATAGGCTGAAGAAGGCTCTTTAAGAAGGAGACAGAATAATTATAAACCGTTATCTCAAAATGAACTGGAAGCTGGGTATAAAAGGAAAAATTACTGGAAAAGTAAGGAGAGTTTGATGAAACCATAAGTGTACATCACCTTCAGACTGGGCAGACTGAAAAAGTAAGACCATGGAGGAATTTACATAAGGAAGCCCCTAATTCCTTCAGGGAAAAATTTTTTTTTCCTTAGGCTCATAGGACATTTACAGAAAGTGATCACATATTTGCAAAACAGAGACCTTTAGATTTTTATGAAGCAGGAATTTCACAGGCTGGGCTGGGTCTGTGGGCCTGTGACCTGAGCAGTCCCACGGGGCCCACACTGGGAGCGACCCACTCCCATCACAGCCTGCTCCGCATCCATCCATGTGCTTCTTATTCTCATCAGCTAACTGGTCATTAGGTTAGAGGTCACACTGCTCCAGTATGACCTCATCTTAACTAATTACACCTTCAACAACCCCATTTTCTAATCAGAAACATTCTGAGGTCCTGGCAGGTAGATTTGGACATCTTTTGGAGGACACACTTAGCCCATGATCAGTCATGCCTATGCCACAACTGGAGAAAGAGCTTTATTTAAAGATGGTGGTGTGGGGGGGACTTCCCTGGTGGTCCAGTGGCTAAGACTCTACACTCCCAATACAGGGCTCCTGGGTTTGATCCCTGGTCAAGGCACTAGATCCTACCTGCTGCAACTAAGACCCTATGCAGTCAACAAATAAAAATAAATACTAATACAAATAAAAATGGGGAGTCATTGTAGTTGTTGGGGGCTAAGGGTGAGGACGAGGTAAAGTTGTTTGAGAAAGATGACCAATACAGGGGGTAACCAACCACGATGATAACCGATAACTATAATAATCAATCACGAGAATAACTGATCATGATGATAAATAGTAATGAGGATAACTGACACTGATGATAACCAATTGTGATAATAACTTATACTAATGGGTAATCAGTCATGATGACAACCAGTCAGGATGATAGCAACAGCTGAGGGTCCCCAGCGCACGGCACTTGCTCTGTGCATCTCGGCCCTGCAGCTCCCTCAGCAGCCCCAATAGAAATGTGAGGATCCTGGCGGTTAACTCCCCGCTCCTGTAGTGAGTACTGCCCTCAGAGGTGGTGCTGGCTGCCCCCAGCCAGGGGGGAGTGAGCCTTGAGGGCGGCCCTCCCTCCCTGCCTGCTCCCAGCTGGGGTTGGAGCACCCTCCTGACTGACCAAGGAGAGCCCTGCGTCACTGCCGCACTGGTACGGACTGCAGGGCTGCAAGGAGAGTTCATCACTCAGGAAAATGCCTTCTGACAAGAAGACTTCACTCCATTTTTCTGTAGAGGAAGACAGTTGGAATGTACGGTTCTCATGAACTTGCAAAATGTGTAAAACAGGAGGAAAAAAAAAGACACCTTGAGAAAGGAAATTTATCTTGAGAGTGACTGCGGCTGCAGTTGCAGACAGGAAGGACAGGTGTGGAGGAAGGGTTCTTGGGGGCCTGTGGGGTAGGGGCTGCAGCAACCCCCACTGCCTCCCCATCCCAAAGGCCCGGGCACTGTCAGTCCTGCGTCTTCTTCCCAGCCCACGGTCCTTGGATGTCCTCAAGTGGCTTCTTTAGGGTCTCTTGCCCCCCATTGCAAGCCCCCCAAGAGCAGGCTCCTTCACTGCTATACCCCAAGTCCCCAGAGTTGGTCACACAGTAGGGCTTATGAGCATTTGTTGACAAGGGGAAGAAAGAACAAGTAAATGGGCCATGCATGGCCAAGTCCTGACACTCATGGGCTCCCCTGCCCCCATCTCAATGCACAACGACCTCAGCGCAGCAGGAACCTCCACTGTGTTCAGGGTGTGGAGGAAGCTGGCAGAGTCTGGGGGGCGTGGGAGCTCTCGTCCCCCTTCCTCTCCCTCCATGACCAGGTTAGGAGGCTGGGGAGCTCTCCGGCTTGGCCACTGGGCCCCAAACTTCTGTTCTAAAAGAGATTTCAACCAGCACGAGCCACCTGGCATTGCCTGTGGAGAAGCCACCAGCGTCTGCAGCCGTCTCCTAGAGACACACCTCACATGAGACTCCTTCCAGGGGCTGGAGGCCGTACGGGCCAGGAGGGACGAAGTGCCCGCCCCACAGCTTCCACTTGTGAGGGCACGGGGGTGAGGGGGGCGAGCACAGAGACAAAGGTTTTGGCTGCAAAGAATAGAGTGGGGTGACAGGGTAAAGAGTGGTCACAGGGAGGTGTCTTTGGACGAGGCAGCGGAGGAGGTGTGGGGGTCCCAGAACAGTCAGTCCGTTTGGGCCCCGGAAATGTACATCCAGATATTTATAGTCCCAGGTCCAGAGGCTGGAAGTCCAAGGCCGAGGTGTCCCAGGGCTGGTTCTCTCTGAGGTCTCACTCCTTGACATGTATACAGCCATCTCCTCCCTGCATTCCCACAGAGTTGCACCTGTATGTCTGTGTCCAGATCTCCTCTCATAAGGACACCAGTCCTGTGGGATTAGCCCCACTTTTCAGCCTCACTTTACCTCAGTCACCCATTTATAGGCCCTGTCTCCATATACAGTCACATCCTGAGGTCCTGGGGTTAGGACTTTAACATATGGATTTGGGGGGAACACACAACTCAGCCCACAGCAAAACCCAAAAGATAAGTAGGACCCAGCCAGGCAAGGACCAGGCAGCTCCATGGGCTGGGAGTGTGTAGAGCATGTTTCCCAATGGGCGATGAGCTGTCTCACTTTACTGTTTGTCTACACTTAACAAATAACACCCTTTGCAAACATTTGCAGCTTACAAATTGTTGTTTAAGTTAAAAATCATGCAATAGAGGTGGTTCATTTTCCTCCAGCACAAATTTGCATAAAAATAATCTGTTTTCCTTAGCATATAATCCCCTTCTCAGTTGGAAAATAAAATTGTTTGTGTTAAATATTGAGCAGAGGGTGTTCCCTGGTGGTTCGGTGGTTAGGACCCTTTGCTTTCACTGCTGAGGGCCCACATTCAACACCTGATCGGGGAACCAAGATTCCACAAATTTTGCAGCGGCCACAAAAAAAAAAATCAAAAACATAAATATTGAGCCGATAGAAGGGTTTGTTTATCACATACAAGTAGGTAAGATGTCAATGAGGCAGTAAGAAAACCGTGCTAATACCCCACTGGAGATCAGGAATGTTACCGTCCAAAGTGTAGCCTCCTCCTCTATGCTTTCCTTTATAGCCTCTGATCCCAGGTACCCAGCCCATAGCATACGTGAACTTGACCTTAGGCCGAGCTCCTCTGGTCCTCACTTTGTACCAGCACAAGCTCCACTGGCTGCCTGGCCAGCCTGTCCCACGATGTGCCCGCTTCTCCTCCCAGCAGTGGCCCTGTGTTTCCTCATCTCTTTCTGTGCCTGAATCAGCTCTCAGTTTCAGGGCTCAGCGGCCGCTCCGCCCCGCACCGGAGCCAGGGAGGGGCTGGATGTGATGGTGGAAACAAAACTGACCACGCGGCAGTCCTGGAATAAGTCTAAGTAGAACCGAAGGGCTCTTCTCTGTAATTAAAAGCCCTATTTCTGTCAGACAGAAAATAAACCAAGTTGACGGAGTTTGGAAAGAATCAAGAGTTCAGCAAGAGGGCAGCTCTGAAAGCTTGTAATCACAGTGACCCAGAATGGGCTCAGGAGTGGGGCAGATGCAGGGGACAAAGGAGGGGCACATGGGCAAAGAGGGAAAAGGACCTCCATCATCCCTACCCGGGGCCTCCGGAGGGGGAGGGAGACGCAGGGCACACCCACAC